AATCCCTAGCAGTTAAGAACTTGCTTAGGAGAATGACACAAAGGTAATATAAGCTAGAGTAATAAGTGAAATGGGGAATATAATTGAAATCTGTGGTAAAGAATTGTTTTGACTAAATATGGAACACCTCTGGTATATGTGAAAGCTAGACTTAGAAGGTCCTGATCCTGTAGAGAGTTAGCTACTATCTAGGGTATGTATAATAACTCAAATTAGCAGGAAGTACTGAGCTAGTAGTGCAATCATACATCCGAGTATAAAGGTATACTAACATTAAATACTAGCTAATACAGAAGCAAGTTGGAAGTAGTACTATGTATTACGAACCTAGTTGGGAGCAACTTTGTTGTGAAATATAGCCTGTACTCTACCAATACACAGGAGTGTCTAGTATTGATAGTAGTACTGCATATAAATATAGTTATACATTATAAATGCTGCATACCTAGTCCTGTAGTAGTTGTATTAGTTGTGAGTCTAGATTAAGTATTGTAAGCTAATTAGAAGGTACACAGGTTTAGATAGCTAAACACTAAACAGGAAGTTTTCTGTGAGGATTACGATGCCTCATATGATTCATAGTACCTATTTGGTAGTATCTCTGTAGGAATATAAGTGATGCAGTAAATACAGAAAAGGTGATCTAATAAGGATAGCTGTAGCATAAATCCTAATTAAGACTATAGTAGGTTAGTCATAATTTAGGTCAAGTATATCTCAAGGATAAATTAGTCCTAAGGTTGTACATAGATATTAAAACTAGTTGTAATTATTACTTGTAATAAATTATAACAAAAATTTAATAATGTATCCGGCCAAAGAGGTCATTTGTAAAAAAAAAAAAAAAAAAAAAACTTATAGTAAATTCTGTCTGTTTCTAGAGTTATAACTCTGTAAATCATATTATACTAATATCACTTAAATATTGAAAGTATGATAAAGTATTTAAAAAGATATAATATTACATAACTAAATCTTAATAGAATCTATAAGCAGAGAACCTATATAGCAAAAATCTCAAATTAGGTAAAATAGTATAGATTTTAACAATCATACTAGTTAACATTTGATTTGAAAAAAGAAATTTGCATATAAAAAGATTAGTGACTAGATATGAGTAAGTTTATTAGAAAAAATCTATATTTAGATTAACTAGATTTAGAAAGACCTATCTCATATAATATCTAGAAACACAGATAACTAACTCAGTAGAAAGCTATAATAGAAACTAGATTTATATGAATATTGAATAAGAGTATATACAAGCTAAATTGAAATATAGCATAGCATAGTTGAGTACTATAGTATCTATTGATTAAGAAGTTAATAAAGAAGTATATAAAATGTATCTAGACTTTAAATTATAAAGCTTATGAATATATATTAGCTCTGTTGATATATTCTGAAAAGAGAAGTAGTATAGAATTAAGTGAATTTAGATAATAAAAGATAGCAGAACAGAAATGATATAGAGCTAAAGAATTTAAATAGGTAATTTTTAAATAAATTTCAGATATAGTAGCTAGTATAGAATCTTTGAGCAGACTACTTAAATTAGATAATCTAAAGTTATATATGTGACTAGTTATACTCTCATATATATAATTATTTCTTACTATCTATACTAATAAAAATCTTACTGATAGCATATTATATAAAGTAAAAAAATAAAGACTTTTACTAAAATGTACCTATAGTATTTTGCACTTATGGTGTTTTACATCTATTTTGTTATACGAAGCTATTATAATAGCCAATCAAAATTTAAAATCAAGTGTAACATAAAATTTACTTTTAATTTTAAAAAACATTGATATCTCAAGATTTTGTCTATGAAACTGCCTTTGCAGCTCTAATTAAAAAAATTCCTTGCTAAATTTTGCATATAATAACATCTAGATAAAATCCTAGGCCTCGCCCTAACCCTAAAGTAATCAAAATTTATTTTTTGTTTTATAAAATTTTATTTTTTTGTTTTGTTACACAAATTTGTAAATCAAATATTACTTATGGTGGTAAAACACCATAAGTGCGTTTTATAATAATTGATCATTAATATAAGTATTTATTTAGTAATATACTTCACCTAACAAATAGTTATTTTTATTATGTAATTAGTTATTTAATTTAAATTAAATTAAAATTTTTGTAATTTCGTTCTAGGTGAATACTAGTACTGTAGTAATTATATATTAATAATGAGGATAACAAGTTATATACTGTAAGATATAGATATTAATGATAAGGATAGCAAGTTATATACTGTAAGATATAGATATTATTTTTATTTAATAGGATTATTGTCTTTCTTAAAATATAGAATAAAGCAACTACTTTTTTAATTATGAACGTTTGCCATATTAACTTATCATGGCATCGTGGTAAATTGGCATGCAACAGTGAACAACATTCTATCAGGTTGGGTTAGTACGATACCGTATTGGATGGACGTACGTACGTACGTACGAATGACTGCGTTGATCTTATAACAGATAACAAAAAATAGAATAATATTAATATCTCATTAGAATATTTTATAGTATATACAGTATTAATACTAAAATTATAGTGATACAGTAAAAGGTTAATCAAAGGTAGGCAATATCAACGCAATTTGACGAGTAAATGGATTTAACTGACATAAAAATTGTTCCATAATTCTGGGCCGAATTGTGTTGATCATGGGCCAAGAATATCCTAATGCCGGCTGAATTGGCGGTTAGTATGATCAAACGGTTAAAGATTTTAGTCGGCTTCAATCCTTAATCGAAATGAATTCTTAATTCATATTTTCTTTTTGCTTAAATTCTATTGACTTTTCGATCCTATAATAGAAATTTTTGAGATCGATGAAATTAGTGTTCAGCAGAGGCGTGGCATTTGACTATATCCCTTATACACCAAATCAACTTACACTAACCATGCATAATTAATGCACTCAGTGAAAGGGATATGTGCGGATGCTATCATTGATCTCTGTTTTCCTAAACTTTAAAGTATAAACAATCCTGCATGCTGATAGTGATTGGAATGTGCATTGTTTTTGTCTCCGAAGTTGTACATAGAGGTAGAGTTGACATTAATTTATTTATTGCAGATTGCAGATACATAGTTAAATGCGAATGGTGTTTATGAAAAAAACAATAATAACGATTGAAATTTATTGGTTAATAATCATGCTTTATTATATTAACCAAATTAGTTAATTATGTGATATTCTTTTTTATTACTCTTAAGCACTAGCCAGTAACAAAATCTGTACTTATTTTCTAGCATATCATAGGGTGGTTCGAGACTCTTTGATAAGGGTAAATGAACATCCCTTATTCTTATATTAAGAATTTTAGCCGAAAAATGAGTACTTCAGGTATCATGACATTATATGGAGGCCATGTGCATAGAATTGTGATGTGTAAGTCGAGTTAAACGAACGACAAATGTTAGATGTTCGCGTCAGACATTCATAGGATATCTGATATATATATTGTAACGTAATTGATAATTTATGATGTCAACAAAATTATGTAATCGCACACAATGTGAAAAATTACTATCGTAGTTATTTCTTGTGATTACGTAATTTGTTGACATCGCTAGTTTCTGTTTTTTTTTGTTTTTAATGGTGTATGGAAAGCTTAACAAATGGATCACAAAAATTCATGCCATAAGTTATAATTTAATAGCACAGTTCATGTTAATACTGATTTCTAAAGAAAATCATGATCCTTTTTTAAATAACAATCATCCCTTTTTGTGTAATCTGATGATAGATGATACGATCGATCAACGTTTACTACACAGGGTGTACATAAATTAAATTTCATATCTGCACATAATACTTTTTTTTGTAATTTAAATTAAAAAAAGTTTACTAATTGAATCTTCTTTAGCCTTCTAAGTAAAGTTGTGATTCTAATGATAGTAAAATTATTAAAATTGAGTTAAAACTCGTCAAGATATATTAGATTTTTTTAATTTTTTACTACGTATAAAATTTATTTTATAGAACTATAGAAATCAACCAATCAGAATAGGTTATTTTGGGTGACCTAGAAAATTTTGAGGTCACCTAAGAAAACTTTATCTATGTACACCCTACCCTCAGAATTTACTGAAACTGAAATATACTATATACTGTATAAACATTCTATAATAAGATCGTAATTCTAGTCAACCGGCCCCAAAAAAATTATATAATTCTTGTTATAATTTCAGTAATAAACACCGATTATACGTACAATTTTAGAAATGGATGATCGTGATGATCAAGATTAAACAATTAAAACAGAACAAATGTCCAATTTCCTTAATTTGTTTATACGTAGACTTGTAATAAAAGCAAATTAAAGTATTTATAATAAAATAATATATTATCGTTATCTGTTATACGTACCAACTATTTATTTTTCTTTCTACTGTATTTTAAATTCTTTGCAGTACAGTAAAAACATTTCAGTCGTATTATGTAATTCTGTTATTACGTATAATTTTCGGGATTTCAAGCGAGATTTACAATATTTGTATATATCTACACATTAAAATATTCTATATTCCTTACAACGATAAGTAAAAGACCGCTAATCTTAATGATTAACTTTATTTTCTCTATTTATTATAAACTTTAATAAGGTCCAATTCAGTGTTTAAAACAGCATAGTAAAAATTCGGTGCATGACCAAAAAATCCTTTAAATATAAAAAAACCGGTTTTTCGGTTTAAAATAAAGCAAGTGAGTGATTATTTAGAATGTTAAATATCACTTACTAAATTCGTTGATTTACTTTACAGTTCAGGGTTGATCAGGTTGATCATGAGTTAATCAATACAGCACTTTTGCACGTGTTATAATTTTAATGACGCATAAATAGGTATTAAAAAAAACGCCTAATCAATATTTTATCATCCCCTTTTTTTTTCTCATTATTGACTTGAATTGTTTCTTTATTACCCTGAAATTTATCTTAAAAGTAAATAATAAATAATCGTGTAAATATATTAACATGGGTGACCCTGAAGATGAAATTGTTGATATGGATCTGGACAGTGACACCGACTATAGTAAAAGTCGGGAAAATAAAAATCCTGAAAAGGCGAAAGATCATATTACTTTTTCAAAATCTATTCAAAACGATATTGGTGTAATTCAAAAAAGCCCCGAGTTTAGTAAAAAACCTGAACAAAACCCGACAAAAAATATCCCTAAATTGATCAACGCTGATCTTTCTGTCTTAAGTAAGTCTCTGTCACAAAAATCCTCCTTACCACCTATAACTGTCTCAAGTCAAGCTTGTCAACCTTCCTCTTCAAATAAATCTGTATGTCAAGAAAATATTCAAAATTTAAGGCAAGAGATCTCGTTAAAAGCCTCAAATTAACTTATCTTTTCCTCACATGATTTTTTTCCAAACAATCTTATCCTATAATCTTTAGATCTTTACATCCAAAACTCATCTCTTTTCGACTTTTGCCTAAACCAAACCCTTTCAAATATAAAATAAAATCAAATTTTTCTGTTAATCAGAATTCTTTTAATAACAACAACTCATCAACAAACTTTAATGTTTCTCCGACATCCATGATTCATAAACAAATTCACTCTTCTCCCGTATCAGCTGATCATTCAATTATTGAAATGAACAAAGTTATTAAATCTAGCCCTCAAAGTAATTGTCAAATGGATATAGATAATAATTCTACAAAGACTACTACAACCATTCCATTCGTATCAAATAATTTTGAAGATGGTGAAATAATGGACTCTAATTATTCTATCGCTGGTCCTTCAAATACATGTGAAATTGGTTTGAATAATCTTGTTGAAAGGGTCAATAAATTGGATTTAGTTAATAGGTTAAGCTTTACCAATTTACCTTCTACTTCAATAAATTCCGGTCTTAATAAATTAGATAAGACGGAAATCGATCGTACTCCTATTGTTACTGCTACATTATCTAATCCTAATTTTAAACCCGTAATTGATAAGGATAATTTGTTTATACTTAATAATCATAATAACTTCAAATATGCTGAAAAGTATATACATAAAGAAGTTAAAATTGAACCTCCCGATGAGTTGAATTCTTCTATTAATGGAAAAGTCGATTATCATAAGGATTCTCAATCTTTGGATACAATAGTTCAACCTATTTCTCCTTATGTTGATGAACAAATTGGTCCTCAAAATATTAACACTAATGAAGTAAGTAATAACTTCTTCAATAATTTAACCGATCATTCAACATCTTTTCAAAGGGTGGGTAAAGTTGATAAAGGCAAACAAAAAGAAATTCTTAACAATGAAGAGTTTACTACTATTTTGAACGATAATTTGAAAAATCTGGAAAAAGATTTCAATTCAAAAAAAGCAAAGGAAAAACAACCTACTCCTCAGGATGAGTTAAGACAAATTACAGATGAATCGGAATTATCTAAAGATGTTCTTGATAAGTATCAAATTGTAAGTTATTATATCTATATACTTTTATTTAATATAATTTAAATCAAATTTAATATAAATTTCTCAACTTAATTAATTATTAATATTTTCTTGTGATTATTATTATTATTATTTTTAAAGCTTGATGATGCTTTATATGAATTTGATCAAGCTGCTCAAAAAGCATATGATGCGTTTCTTAGTTTGGAAAGGGTTTTACCTCCTGAAACAATTATTAAGATAGACCCTCCTTCGAATGATAAATGGAAAATTATAAAAGAAATTATGGGAATGTCTAAAAAAAAAAGATACAGGTTAAACGGAATTCAAGTCTCACAATTGAATACAAATAGAATTCAAAATTCTCATTTGAATTTAAACGGAGTTCAAAATTCTCAATTAAATTTAAACGGAGTTCAAAATTCTCAATTAAATTCAAATAGTATTCATTTGAATTCGAATTCAAATGGAACTCAAAATTCTCATTTGAATTCGAATTCAAATGGAATTCAAAATTCTCATTTGAATTCGAATTTAAATGGAATTCAAAATTCTCATTTGAATTCGAATTTAAATGGAATTCACACCCCTCAATTAAATTCAAATGGAATTCATACCCCTCAATTGAATTCAAATAGAATTCATACCCCTCAATTGAATTCAAATGGACTTTATACCCCTCAATTGAATTCAAATGGACTTTATACCCCTCAATTGAATTCAAATGGAATTTATACCCCTCAATTGAATTCAAATGGAATTTATACCCCTCAATTGAATTCAAGTGGAATTCATACCCCTCAATTGAATGGAATTCATACACCTCAATTAAATTCAAATGGATTTTATGGATTTTATACCCCGCAATTAAATTTAAATGGACTTCAAGCCCTTCAAGCCCTTCAATTAAGTTTAAATGGTGTTCAAAATTCTCAATCGAATAGATTAGGTGAGTGTATTACTTTTGGTCAAAAAAATTTTTAATATTCTATGTTGATACTGAAATTAATAAATTCGTTATAGAATATAGAGATTCCAGGAGCACTCCGATTCATGCTAATAATAAAAATGCATGTGTAAATGAAAGTGTTGTTAACGCGAACTTGATAGGGGATGTCCTTCCTGATGATGATTTAAGCTCTGGATCAAGAAGACAAAGTTCTAGAAAAGTACATGATACTCGAAGCCAGAAACCACCTAGCGCAAATCTACGAAGTAGGGCTCCCTCTTTTGGAGAAATTAGGCCGGCAGTACAGCCAGATCTAAATTCCGTTAAACGAAAATCTTTAAAGCAAAATTCGCAAAGTCCTAAATCAGGTAGAACTACCAGAAGCGCAACAAGGGAAAAAGAAACTCCTTCTCCTTCCTCCAAAATCAAATCTCCCAACATTAGGCCTATTAGACCTCATGTTAGAAAGCCAATTAAAAATCTTCCTGATTTCATTCTGAACTTTGAGGATATTACCAATTTTCATGGAGCAACAACAGATGAACAAAAAAACCCCACTACTTCCGCATTCGGAATTTATTGTTTGGAACTTTCCTCAATTCATTTTTTCAACAAAGGTGCAAAGACTGGTCCTGAATTTGTTGCTTACGCTGCTCAAAATTGGATTAAATTAACTGAAGATCAAAAAGAAGTAAGTCTTTAATATAATATAATACTATTGTTATTTGAATATTTTTTATTTTCTGACAACGAGGTATTTTAAAGATATATGAGAAAAAACGACGTGTTACGGTTCAACAAAATAAGCATAGAGATTCCTTTTCAGTAGAACAACAAATACCTTCTTTTTTTTTCAGAGATCCGCAAATTGAATCATCAAGATCATCATCAAGAAGATAAAATCGTTTATTCTTTTTTTTTTTTTTCGTTGTAGTATTTCTCAATTTTTATTTGTTAAAATTTTATCAAGTGATATGTCTCTTTTTATTTTCTTTTCCTTTTTTTGTAAAATCAAAAAAAAAAAGAAGCTTTTTATGAAAATAAATAAAATCGGTTGGACAATATTTAATAGGTAGTATTTAGAGATGTTTATAATTTATAATAGGTATGTAATGTAATATTATTGTATATTTTATATCGTTATTTATTACTAAATATATATTTCAAAAAAAAAAAAAAACAGGCATACATACGTCTTGCGGTTGTTATACTTAATACCTAATTATAAATTAGTAATAATGCTTTTATATCGGACAAGAAAAATATACGTATAATCTTGTAAATATTATATTACTATTGTATGGAGTGTACAGTATATGCTTTCTAAACAGTTTCGGGTTTATGAAGTTAAAAAAATTTCAACTTTTTTTGTGTATAAGTTAAATAAAATTTGTTATTTGTATAATTACGAAGCTAAAATTAGAAATAATATCGATATCAATCAGACTTCCCTATAGTCACACCTTATACAGATCATATAAAAAAAATGTTCTGAAACTGTTTTACAAAAAAATTCTTTGCATATTGCTAATCCTATTCTAAACTAATGCGTCATTGTTGATCTTAAATTCTGATGGGCAATCATTTATTTATATATGTTGTAAGTGGGAATGGAATTTGGAATTTTGCCATAGAATTATTCTATATAACTTATATCCTCTACCCTAACCCTAACGCGAACCCTAACCCTAACCTTAATCTATCCTGGTCATTAAATTTTAAATTTAATTAAAAAATTCTGTATCCACTTAAATTCCCGTTCCTACTTATAACACAGTAAATATTTTTTTAGCAATTAGTTTATTAAACATAATCTAATACCCTCTATCTAAAGATTATTTAATTGTGATTAGCTTGTTTAATTTGAAACAAAGCAAATCAGTTATAAGCAGTGTTGGCAAAATATGGACATGAACATTTATAGACTATGTCCATAGTCAATATATTTTTTTTGGACATAAAGCATTTAGTTCAAATCCAACATGTGAGCTTATTGTTCCGGACTATTCCGAACAGAAGCGCCAAGATTAGGTTAAATTCCGATATAATCCGAAAATTTCAGCAAAGAAGATATGGACATGGACACTATTTGAATTAATCTATGTCCATATTTGTCCAATCCAAATAAAATTTTTATTGGACATAGTCCAAATGCCAACACTGGTTATAAGTATTTTAATTCAATAATCTAATTATACAGATTTTATACCTAAAACTTGAAAAAATTTCATATTCTTCCGAAAAATAATTGCTAGTTTTTCTGATAGGTTTTCTCATAGTACCAACAATAACAATTACAATCGCAATCACATTTAAAATTTTGAATAAACGTAAAATCGCTTCAAAAATATGGCCCGAAATGTATTGATGACTTAATAGATTCATGATTTTTAACTCAACTTATAATTGATTGATCTGGTGCCTCATAATTCAAATTAAAAATAAAACTTTTATTTGTATAATAATATTTTTCCGCTTCTGGTGATTCTCAACTCAAAGGATTATATCCACCTAAAATTTCGTTTGTTCCCTTAACCTTTAAGACTGTTAAAGTAGGGCCTTTATTATCGCATTTATCATGGAAAACCCATGAGTTGGTGCTTTTTTGTGGAATAAACTTTGAGATAATAGTACTTTTAATAGAATATTGAGCAATCCATTTAGAAATAAGGTTAAAATGTTCCTGTTTAATTAATTAGTCTTTGAGATATTGGATATTAAAGGTTGAATATCTTCATCTTTGACATACGCTGAAGGACTTCGAATACTTCACGAATTTATGGTCGTTTATCAGGATCACTATCCCAACAACGTGTATACAGTTGAATATATAGTTCTGGTGTATCTTCTATTGATTTTTCCCTTACTCCTGAAAAAATTTGAAATATTATTTCATCATTGTCAATGCAGGATTCAAAAGGTGGATGGTAACTTGAAATTTCCCAGAGAAGAACGCCAAAACTGTAAACATCAGATTTCTCATCACATATATATTTATGAGATGCAAAATGCTTTGGTTCAATGTAAGCCGGTATACCAGAGCCTTTATTATTACCATTGAATTATTAACCTCTTTTGATATTCCGAAATCAAGTTATAATCATTTCGCCTTCGTGCACTAAAATATTCTTTGAGTGCTATAAACTTAGAAAAAAAGAAAATTTAAGTTTACTAGCATAATACTTTTTTAATTATCGTAATTCTAACTCTAATTCTTACAAGATCCCTATGAATGACTTTATCCTGATTTTCGTGCAAATGCATAATGCTCATAATGTCATATGAATTTCTTTTGCAATTCGTAATTTTCATCCCAAGTATATTGCCGTTCTTTTTCAAATAATCTCGTAACTTACCATCATTCGCATAATTTGTTTGTCTAATATACTTTGAAATTTAGGAATTTTTAATTAACTGTTAATCCAAAACGTTGCCAATATGGCTTATACACTTTATTGCATCTACTTTCATTAATTCAGTTTTAGTGAACTCATTATATTCGTAAATATGGGCATCTAGTTATTCAATTGTACTGTCAATATAATATGAATCTATTCCAGTAATGTTTATCATGACATCTTTGTCTATGTCATTATGTTCATTATTTTGCATTGAATTAATCTTCTTCATAATAAACTTTGTATCTGGACGATTTTCTGTAGCCTCATCCCAACATCGTTCATAAAGTTTAATGAATTGGGGGCATTCCCTCTCTTCCACCTTTGCATACGTATGTGATGATCTGTTCTCTAGAATAGGAATCAAACGGCGGCTTGCCGCTTGAAATTTCCCAAAGAATCATCCCTATATCTGATTTTTTTTCAAACCTATATGAGATATTTTTAAAACATTTGGGCTCAATATATCCAAGCATTCCATGTACAATAGGACCAGAATTTCTTGATAGCTCGCTATTCCAAAGAAAGTTATTTATTTTAAAAAAGCCTTTTTAAACCAAGGATAAAGGTTATTAATATATTACAAAATCATAATAAACAATATTTATTTGCTATTTCACTGGCGACGCACATTTTTACGTCACATTTGAGTCCTGAAAAATTTTCTTTAAGGTATTTTCTCAGGTTACCATTATTGGCAAATTGTAAAACCAGATAATTTCCGCTATATTTTTGCATGAATTATTTCAGAACTTCACACTCTTTGCTAAGTTATATAATTAAACAAACAACTACATACCTTTAGTTACTCCATAAAAATTAATAATATTCGAATGCGATGCAATTTTTCCAATAATTTAAGCTAATTATACAATTAAATAATTATAATAATGTAATATACTATTATAAGATTTTATTAGTCGAAAGTTTTGATATCCTTTTCTATCAATTCAACTGGTGTAGAAATATTCATCAAATCAGCTTTATTTTCAAAAGATTTGTCTTGATTGATTAAAATATGTTGACTGCTTTTATGTAGTATGTTTATTAATAGAAAAAACAAAGTTTGCTGAATATAATGAAGTATTAGACTTTTTAAGAATACTTTTATTACTACTATTAATATTATTTCCCGAGCAGAGCGGATGAACTTATGTCCAGACAATAGGCAAGAAAAAAAAATTCCAGGTGGGTTCCGGGAATAGGATAAGGCGGACATAAGCAAAAAATTTCCAAATAGCCACTATCATTCGATCGATCACAACTATGTCAGTATACTGTAACGTTCTTTAAATGTAACTTTTTTCGCTAACATGCTATACAATGTAAATTAAACTTCATGAATTTTAAATAGATGTACAGCCCTAACGGTTTAATACTTTGAATAAAATTTTACGGGACTAATATCATGGTTCTACTAATAAAGTTACGAAGCTATTATAATTTTTCACATTTAAATTAAAAAAATAACTTTGTAACTTTGTATAGCAATAATATTTCGACCTATTTATTTAGATTCGAACCAAGCTTTTTCGAGCGCGCGAAGTTTTGAAACCTGTGCTTTCATGTGCTTCCCGTCTTGGCTGTACATTTATTTTCACGAAGAATTCGAAGATATCTATTATATGATACCATTACATAACTAATAATATACCGTACCCCAATGATCTTTTGTAGCATTGTTTCTTCAGTATCATACTCAATTATTTAAAACAGATCGTTTACAATGTACGTACCAGCAGAATTATTAATATAATGCCTTTTTTTCCAAGTCGTAAAAGCAGAAACCATACCAATAAATTTAATATAATATTTACATGACAACATTGTTCGAAGTGAAGCGGCGCTCCGGAATCCAACGGATTCCGTTTTCCTAGTTTATAATAAATTTTGTTGTAGTCTCTGCTGATAATTTATCGAGTTCAACTAAAAATTTTTTCTAAAAATAGGCGCTGGTCCGGTTCGGTAGACCAGCATTTCATGTAGAGATTAGAATAACCTAAGGGTGTATTATAAATAATTTTAAGAAATAAGTTTCGCTAATTATTAATAATCATTAATTTTTTAATATATTCAATGGAGTTTAGCAGAGTTTGCCTATCTATTTTATAGATGGTGATATAATCAGCTGGAATGGCTCAGCTTGGCTCTATCAAGCCATAGCATAAATAGCCATGGTGCAGTCAAGCCATGATATATTATGGCTTGAGTTAGCCAAGCCATTTTAAATCATGGGTTGAGTTTATGAGCTGCTGCTAACTATAGTTTATAGCTTAAGCAATTAATCATAAATTGAACATATATGCATAGTGATACTAAATTTATATCAATAAATTATAATATTTATCAAATGTGTATAGTTTGAATTAAATTTTATTATTGTAATACTAAATTTATATTGAAAAATTATGATATTTACCAAATGTATATAGTTCGAATTATAGAGATACTAAATTTATATTGATAATTTGATATTTATCAAATGTGTATAGTTTGAATTAA